GCATCCGATTTTTGTTGAAATTTTGTCGCTTTCCGTTACTCTAGAAGAAGCTGATTTCTTCATCTGTTACACATCCAAGTCGTTTCATCTCCGCGCTTCGCCTCTGTCACAAGTTTTCCCATGGATGTGCCTTTATTCGTGCTAATCTTGCAACGTTGACTGGACCGGCAGTGCTTGAAGCGGCACGTCTGCTCGCAGACAGCGAACTGCGTCGTCGATGTGCGCTACGCTTGAAGTCGAGTGAAAATCTGCAAGAGGGTATCGTCGCTCTTTGCAGGATCTACGCGAAAGATTCAAGTCCACTCGACTGCCTCCATCGATGGCCGTTGCAATCAGTAAGTTTTCAAATCAGTTTCTTCAGAGGTTGACTTTCATGTATTCGGCGGCACAAAATATCGAAAATGATTAGGCATGGGTTGGCCCTTTGCCAGCCTTGAAGTTAAGGCCTCAAAAGTTTAAGTGCTTGTGACACTTTTACCGAAGAAAAACGTGGTAGGATCTAAGCATCCATTCATCAGAGCCTGACTTCCGAGCGATTCTTTGTTTGGACCTATTGCACTCAAAAATGGCTATGATTTGTGCCTCACAGCCGATTGTGACGTTTAAGCGCTATCTGCACCACAGGTATTTTGAGGTTGAAATCAAGGAGTGATTCGTTGCGATGTTGAGACGATGTGACGCTATATTAATCTTTACGGTCGACTCCTAGTGCCTTTGAAGCTTGTTTGGTTCCTCCGTGAAATGAAGATGCGAACGGTATGACCCGATTTCAGACACGTATCCGATTGCCCTGCTTTTTTTCGGTCCAATAAAAATGTTCGACGCAGATCGATAAACGCTCATCAGCCTCTCCAGTTAACAGCAATTGTCCTCTGGAAGGAGGGGAATCAGCAAACTAGTCAAGGGTTGACGTCGGGTTATAGGCAGAGATGGTGCTTAACTATGAGTTTATAGATAGTGGTTTACTAAAATATTGACCAGAAGAGAATTTTCTTGCTAATCAGTCACTTTACTACTGTACGGAAGGGTGACCGAGATCGTCAATAAGTGAGCAGGGACAGTGGTGTATTTTTTCCTCGAATTCAATTTCTTACAGTAAGTCGAAACTGTCATTTCACGAAGTTGTTTAGCTGGTTGAAAGCTCGTCTGAGCGCGCAAGAGCGCTGTTTGTACATTGCATGGCCCACAGTAATCAGGGAACAAACCGCACGCGTAATATGCATTCGAGTGCTACAGTAGTTTGAATGGGCAACTAATGCATGGCGTATCCCAAAAAGATCAATTAGTGCGTGGCGCATCTGGTAATGTCTCATCACGGAAGATCCTCATATGTTCTTCTTCTTGCCTGCAACTCTTATAATTGTGATTTGTAGATATACTTCTTGGATGCGTCATTGATCCATCTCGAACGGTAGCTGAGATCGATGTGAATGAAATGAAGCAAATGATATTCCGAGCGGAAGTCCATCATAACGTGGCGTGCACTGCCCTTGACATTGATCAGTGGGATAAGTTCAAGTAAGCTGACACAGAGCTTGGCGCTATAGTGTCGATTACGATGGAATACGGTCCCTATTTGCAGGTCTATTATGGGTTCATGCCCACTATCACCTCATTACTCGCCTATACTTGTATTTCACATAACAAACTATATTCTAAGGAACCCGGTGCGTCTCATTTCACGCGAACGTGTTGCAATTCTAATGTTTTTGTCAACATAATTCTTCAGGAACGACAGAAGGAAGTGATGGAATGGTACCTGAGTGCTTTGTCATTGGAGCGCAAACCTTTGACTCAACTTCAATGGTCCAATTATGCGGCAAATATAATCAGGTGGGAGATTTACCATTTCGATGTATTGTTGTCCGTAAGATTTCACTTTGGACGAGTTTGAAGTGCTCAGAAGTTGTAATGACAGAAAATAATGAAAAACTTACTATACGGTAACTTTGCCTTTGATATATCATAAGTTAATATCATAGTTTTGAGTTCGGAGCTCAAGTTAGGTTTGCTGGTGGTTGGCCAAAAAATATGCGCAAAAGGTTTACAGGATGTCAAGCTTTGCATAGTGCCGAAAATATACCTTTACATTGCTTCCAGAGTCATGGGTGAGGGTGATGTAGTGGTGATTAGCGCGTTGTTTCTGCGGGTGTTTTCTTGAATAAAACAACGGAATCAGATCAACTAAGAACTCTTTTTTTTAAGGTCGGTTAACTGGTAACAAACTTTTTTGAGAGGATGAAAACACTGATTTGTGTGTTGGCTGGCTCCCACAAAGCATTTTATGGGCTAATTTGGACTTGATTTCATCATGGTTTCGAACGAGAGTAGAACGCGTGCGCACTCTTTTGGTGAGCAGAGACTGAATAGAGCTGTTTGCTTACCTTTTGTAGAGGAT